TTTCATGTCCGGCGATCCGATTTTTTCAGGTCCGATATGTCAGGCCATATGTAGGTAATGCGCGCTTGTGCACTGTCAGGAATTTTACCGTCCGGAATTTTACTTTTCTCTATTCCGGACCGGTTTTTTCAGGTCCGTGATGGCGGCAATGAAAAACGTGTTTACGCTTGTGCACTGCTGCGTCCGAGATCCGGAAAATTCATAAGAAATAGACTTGGGAAAAAATAATCGATTTGAATCGATATTTATTTCGGCAATATTGTTAATTTCCAATAAACTTATAATCTTTTTAGTTGATTATAAAATGCTATATTTTATATGATGATTTAATATAGTTGGTATATATCACTGCATATGCTTTGGCATATGCTCGGTATAGTTCTAATTTGATCAGCGTATGGTTCTAGTATCGATACTTAGCTAGATTTTAGAATCGTATTAAAAGTATCGATAGCTTAAGGTAAGATAAATAAGTGTTGTTACGCTTAGACGCCTAAACAACTGAACTCATCTAAATGGAAATTAATATAGTAAATAGACTTAACTTTAAGAAAGGACATAGGCTACATTTTATCGCGAAAAATAGGGGATTAAAGTTTGCCTGGAAATTTGTCATTATCAGTTTTTTTTTAGACAATTGATAAATATAGATAAATATTTGACAACAGAAGTAATAATAAAAAATAAACAGAAGATTAACAAAAGTAATTAAGTGACACTCAATGTCTTCTTCGCATTTAATAAAATTTTAAATGTATGTTTGTGTCATTAATGAATTTAAAAAAAATAAGTATTCTAAGGGAATAATATTTCTGCTCAAAGAAACTACACTACGCGTATAAAATTATGCCTATATATAATATAGTCAACTGATCTCGTAAAGTTCATTTAGCATAATAATTCTCCGCTAACACGGCACTAATTTCGATTTGTTTACGAAATGGCGCCACAGATTGGTCTATCTCTGTAATCGCTGAAAGTTGTTTTTACAAAACTTCGAAAAAAAATAGCACGTTTAAAAATTTAAACATCAAGTACTAGACCATTATCAGTAATTTTATTCTAATGTCACAGATATTTTTAACTATTGTATGTGAATAATGCTGTTCCTAAATTAGTAAGGGTATAAGTTTTTACATGTGATAGTAGTCATTCGATAGTAGTAAAAAAAAAATGCTTCATTCGTCTTGCTATAATTTATTATGATTTATGTAAAACGATCAGATCATTATTTAGGTACCTTTCTACGTCTTCGAACGGAATTACCGACATTCCAAAAATCTCATCGTACATAGCGTAAGTGACGTGTAGCTTCAAAGAGAGCTGCCCTACACTGCGCCGCTCCGATCAGGAAAAAAACGGACAAGTGCACAAGCTACTCATCCGAGTTTTTCATGTCATTCCGGACCGGAAAAAATCGGACCGCCGGACCTGAAAATTCAGTGTAGTGCACAAGCGCCCTATTACTAACATTATTATCTTTAATGAAGAGACGCATATATTCGAGAAAAAAAATGAAACAAAATAATTTGAAACAATAGATGTAAAGAACTTTTAATGGGCATTAATAATAGTACTTTAACTGTTCTTACTTCATTCAAATTATTGTTTATTTGTTAAAAATATCTGCTTCAGTTATGATATGTTATTACGTGAATAAATGACACTCAACTAATTATTTCTCTCTACTATAGATACGAATATAAGACTCCTCTATCCGTCCACCCATCTGCCTGTGTGTACTGTTACTAGCCTGTATCTCATGAATACTGTTAGACAGCTAAGATTTTCACAGATGATGTATTTCTTTTCCCGCTATAACAACAAATACTTATATTTAAGGGGGGCTTCCCATACAAACGTATGTTTTTTGCGTGTGTCATAGATGGTACGATGGTAAGACTGTTCCACATTTTAATGGTCCAAAGTATATCAAATATAATATGACACTATGATTTTACAAAGTTTCTTTCCTTAGTATCTTATTTTATTTATTTTATCATCACAGATAATAAACACTATATCTTATCTTTAATAATATCAGCATAATAATTATTTAATCATAACTTCAATAAACAACAACAAATTAAAGTCGTAAACTAAATTATGTTTCATAGTTTCGTTATTACAAAACTACTCGTACTAATATCGCCATCAGCATTACTAATGTTCCCACTGCTGGGTCTTCCAGGAAACAGAATGAAAAAACCAATTGGGCCCAATGCAGATCAGTGGGTATGCAGATAACGACAGAGCAGCAGACAGGTTTACCGTGCCTTCCGATGCACGGAGGAGTTCGAATCACCCATCCTCTGACAGGGGTTTGCAAAAGTAAATCACAGACCGATTGCTCTAACCGTTGCGTCATTGCTCCTCCTAATGTATTATTCACGGTCAGGGTCGAACTACATATAGCCGCATGGTATAGTGTTTTTCCATCACCTATTCTTTTTAGCGCTCCAAGCTGCCATAAGCTAGAGCCAGAGAGATAGTGGGTACCCAACACCGTTTTGTCTCTACATCATTTGACATTTCAATTTGATTTCACTTATCTAGTTTATCTAGGTATTTCAATCCAGATTGTTGCATTGACAAGTTAATGTTTTGATCGTCCTAAAAGTTCATATTGTTTTGTTCCACAGGGATCTTACTTTGGACCCTCACTTTTAATTTTATGAAATACATATAATTATTTTAAGTATTTGTTAAATAAAATTCACAGTGAAATCATAATAATACTGTGTTACTTTCATAAATATAATTGTACCCTATCTTTTCATGTTGCTCAGAGCCGCCATTAGCTAGAGCATCGAGGATCCCTTAATACTACCACAATTTTTCATTCAATCATAATTCCGACGTCGCATTTTTCATAGAAGCATCTATGAAATCTGCAGTGGACGTGACATTGACAAATCCGTGCAATACGTTGCGTGTCTTGCGGCCGGTGCGTGCGTGCTGAGGCAGTGGATAAGCAGCTTAACAACGACTAACTAGTAGTTAAATGAAACGGAATATCTCCTAATTTTGCAAAGATAACTACTATGGCTAGAGAGTTTGTCGGTCCCACCTTAGATATAATTCAACCCTTACTAGATGTTGTTTGTTATGTAAAAAAAACACCCTCTTTAGAACCAGTTCTAATGTTGTTTTATTAAATTATAACCTTGTTTTTACAGTTCTCAATTCCTTGTTTGCCTTTCCCAGTCCCAAAAGATGCCTTGATAGGGTTATGTGTAACAATGTTCTATTAACGACTCTATGAGTTATAAAATAAAGGTGAATACACAGTCATCTCACACGAAACTTTTTACTTCGAATCTTATATTATGTATTTCTTGTGGACTTCATTAATATTGTTTGTTTATCAAATATAATGAAAATTGTAAAAGAAACATCCCAATTAGCTGTCATTAAAAACAAAAAAAAAACTACATTATAGCTATTCATAAAAATTCTCTCACAGAAAAAATGTCGATTTATAAAATTATCTTTCCATTTTTATTGGGAAAATTGATAATAAAGTCCTTTTCAGTCACTATCTGTTGATGAACGCGTTCTTTCCATCTCGATTTCACTTAAAATGTTCATCATTTAAATCTTAAACTTAAGTACTCATAAACTATTACGGCCTCTATGAAATCGCCTAACATTAGGCCTCGGCTATAAAATATTTAAGTTCGAGATAGTAAATTTTTGGTCGCATATAATTTTTGATAGTAATTTATTCTCCAAATCGCAGAATACGCTAACCACTGCATTATAGAGTTCCCCATAAACAAATATAATGTTATAAGCACATCACTAAATATTCTTGATATAAGTACCACAATTACCTGCCAACAGTATCTATCAGTGGGTTGCCAGGAAGAAATCACTGTTCAGCGATAAGGCCACCTATAGCACAACTGTTGAAATTTAATTTTATACCTTAATTGTATTTATTTTACTTTATTGTAAAATAAAATGTATAAATAAATAGAGTCATTTTAAACTAATGAAAATAACAGGTCAAAGAAAAATTTCAAAATGGTTGCTTATTTAAAATTAACTGAATTTATTTTATATTAGGATCTAAAACACTTCTTATGAAAATAATATATATATATATATATATATTATTTTCACTTGTGCTATATTTTACAAAACAAATGAATATTTGAAACAAAGAAGAAGTTTTAGAATAGATCCACCGAGACCCGAGACTTGTAAAGTAACGTTGACACAACCGAGAATCAAACATGTGCACCTAATTAGTAATTAGTATGCTAGTTATCTCAGTAACACAGGTCGTCACAGTCAGGAATCGAATCTTAGATTATCCAAACTGAATCGGTGTTTATCTATCAGCAAACATATTGCAGCGATTCAACAAATGTTTTTCAATAAATTTGTAAAGACCTACATCTAATATAATTCTAAGACCATGTATTTAGTAATTGACAAAAAATGTTATGATGCTAATATCAATAAACGCTGGAAATTTTATAAAAAATATAACATCATGTACCAACTTTACATTAGGTACATACCTAAAAAGATTAAAAGAACAGCAGAGAAGACACGGAAATGAACAAAATAGAAAAATAAATGTTTCTGACCAGACGTATACTTATAAAGGCTAATCACTTTTCACGTTTGCATAAAATATTTGATGGCGTGATGTCAAAAATCAATACAGATAAATTGGAATGGTGATACGTGAGCAAACAGTACCGCTGCCGTCACCACTCTTCATAAGGAGCATAATATAAATTAAAAAAACTACGCTCATCAGAGTTTTGTCTTTGCCTAAATACATGACAAGTAACCTCTCCCTCCTTGTTTCCCCTCTTACAAAGTGACAATAAGGCGTGCACACACACTAGCATGTTGTTTAAACACTCTCACATACGTCGGACCGGCTAAGTATTCGGTTTCCCGCCACCGGCACAAGCACGCACACAAAACACATTGAGCAAACAATACAAACACCAACACGCAAGTAAATTTAAACTCACCTCAAAATAAATCCATTAGAAAACACACTTGTTCAAACAACTAGCGCTTAGCCTCGAAAACACGTTGAAAAAACACTCGCCAGCATCCAATGTGTGTTCAACACTTTTCCGAACTTTCTGTATGCAGCCTTAACTTCACCGACTACGCGCCAAAACGTGAATTAAAAAAAAAACTAGTCCATTCTTCTTATCATTAAACTTTTTGAAACAAATTCGTACGCTGCAATGTTATTAGATCGCGTTTAAAAAAAATCACAGTCCGTGCGAATACACTTCCGCAATTCGCAAACACGAAACAAAATAAAAGAAACGAGTGGCCCCCAACACAATTATTAACACACGTTTACGCGGTAAAAATAAACTATGATTAACCGCTATTAAGATTCGCGGAGACAACTGGCCGCGAAAAAAAAGCAAATTTCAAAAGTAAATAAAGAGAAGAAAAGTAGAGCGCTCAAAATTTGTAATTCCCAGTAAACAATGTAAATCGCGAATCTGCGCTATTTCGGTCGGCAGGAGCGGTTCCGATATGAATAATTATTATCGGCGAGCGAACATCGACGCATAGTTGTCGTTTCATAAAACGTGCGCGTTAAAACTGAGTCGAAAGGCTCGCCCGTGGCGGGGCATAGCGCCGAATAAAATAAACAACAATATACCTAAATAAGCGGCCGACGGGCGCGGCGAAGTGTGCGTGCACTCGCTTGTCTGCGTGTGTAAACAAGAGGCGGTGCGGTGAGCGTGACACATTCTTCTACTTGCTGATAGACGTACATCATACCAGTTGTTACCAAGCCAACTGTAGCTGATGGAAGTGTTATGGTGTCACCTATGTCTCCTGCTTATCAAAAAAAAATGCTATTCTTTTCGTGCCTCCTCTTCACAGTGCTTTCTACGCTCTTCTTTAAACTTAACCTCAAGGAATACCCGTCATACTACTGAATTCCTTTTCTACTCATTTCCCGGGCACGCTGTGCGCCTGTGGTATTCTTTACGTGAAGATTTTAGGAAAGTTCGCTGTTTGAATTGTTTAATTGGTCAAGTAAAGGCTCACTTCTTGTCTCTACCTTGATCTCTGTCTTAATCTAATACTATAACTATATTTTATGTCTCTATTGGATATTCTATATGTCTATCAATTTTTCAGATATATTTATTAACTCCTTCGTCTTGCACCTTCCCTCCTCTATTTATTTATATCTTTTATCTTTCGTCATGGGTTGCCTGGAAGAGATCGCAACGTTTCAATAAGACCGCCATTTATCTATTCTCTTTTTCTTGCTTCTTTGTAATATATTCGATGTAGAGTGCAATAAAGATTATTACTAGTATTATTTAAGTGCACAAAAGTAATTTTACATGAAATCGGCACATCCGGCCAAAAGTTCCTAAGACTTATTTTCTAATAAATTAGGTTAAGGTTTAATTAATATTCACGTCAGATCGCTTACACAATAAGCAGAAAACTGAGTGCCACAAATATGTGGATTGAATATTATTCTAAACTCTACTGACTCTAATAAAGGTATTGAGTTCAACATTAAGATAAAAACTGTCCTGTCTCGCTCAAAATTATATACAGCGTGTAACAGGAAGGTACAGTGGAACTTTAGAAAGACACACTATGTATCTGCCAAGAATAGTCTTCAGAAAAGTTCACAGCCTTCGAAAGCTTTTGAAATTTCCTTTAAATTAAATAACGTTCCATCGATATCTAAATATCAATTTTGATTATTCACAGTACTAAACACCTTGAAAATAATATGTTTAAAAATAATCACTGCTATTCTACGAGTATCTGTCAAAATCAAATGAAAAGGGTTATTAGAATTTGATGTTCCATGTTTCAATCAGTCTCTTAAGTCATGTTAATTTTAGCTAGGTTTTAAATTAAGTAAAGTGCAGACATAGAACACGATAAGTTTTTAATAATTATAAGAATATCACAATAGTAAAATTACATAATAGGTTAAAACATCTTCCACGTCTTCTTCTACTTAATAGCGCTATAAAACGCCTTATACTTCTCAACATTTCTGACTTAAAGTATGCCAGGTACGCTCAATCATTTGCTGTTCACTTACGCGTTCAGATGTGTACACACAACTTTTAATGCAACCCCGAAGAAAAAATCTAACAGCGTCAAGTCAGTCCAACACTGTTTTGCGACAGCAATCTCTTGGAGAAAATCATTGGCGTACAACTTCTGGTCTAACGTTAATAAATCGCTGACGGTAGAGATCAAGAACCTGGTCGCGACTTCTATCAACTGCTTCAATACACAACATCCTTTCATAATATTCTGGATTACTAAGAAAAGTAATTTTTCAATATTAGTAAAGAAAAATTCAGAATAAAACAACATACAATGTCAGCTTTTTACTCTTTTTATGAATCGAAAATAAATAAAAAAACATAGAAATTCATCATTAGATGAGCTTCTTATTTAATTAAACTCCTATAATTAAGAAAAGAAGTAATTGAACAAAGTTTTTATGTAGGCCATATTATGTTTAGTTATGTAGGTACTGTGCACAGAAAAATTTTGATAACAATAAATAAGTGTAACTATTATAAAATTAAATTATTTGATTAAAAGCTACCCTGGATTGACTTGTGTTAAGGATTGTTATCAGATACATAGTGTATCTTTAAAATTCCACTATACCATTTTGATTCTTCCTGCTTAGGTACCGTAAGTACGCATAATATGACCAAGATTGGTTGAATAGTTTCGGAGCTTATGGGAAAACTAAGAAAATCTACTAAAAAGTGTAAAGGTTGCCATCGTCGTACCTCACAGACACTTACTTAATAAACAACAACTTAGGAAATAAATACAATAAAAGTATTATTCTCTATGTCAACCAATTTGTATCCCTAAACCATCAAACAGTCGACTTTTACGACTACTACACTTATAAGGAAAGATTTTCGATTGTCCCTCATTAATAATATCAACGAATAGATAAATAAAATAAAAGTCATTTCCATCAATGTTCAACCGAGCCCGACTTCCCCGCGAGAATAAACATATGACGTCACCGGCGAGTAAACAAACAAACAAACACATGCGCGCCGCTCATGTTTCCTTAATACAATTATTATTTCGAATGTGGAACGGGCCGATGCGGACGCGGCCATAGACGTTGCTGCTTTATTTTTAAATTCGAATTTCGCCAGCCAGTGTCTGTGCCCATCGTCCTCATCGTCTATGCGAATTAATTACGCTCGTCACAAATAAATTATAATGTTATTGCGAATGGCCAGTGTCTCTTGATTTGTATTTTTTTTACTAATGAACAATTATTTTGGCTTGGGTATTACGCAATATAGATAATTCTTTATTGAAAGAAAGAAAACCAATTATAGTAAAATTATTATTAATTAGAAGATAATTATTTCAATTAATAAAATCAATATAATGTTAATAGTATAGATATTAGAATACTATGTAAATTCTATTGTCTCCTCCCTTATACTACATCAGCAAAATTAAAAAAAAGATAATCTAAACCATCTTTAAATTAATATTCATTAAAGCTACATGAAGTTTCTGACTTTGTTTGTTTGTAGGGAGAAATACATATTAGGATATGCTGGTCCGATCATGAAAATTCTTTTAACTACGGGAAGCTAAATCGTACCCGGGTGGTAGTGGCTATGATTTATGCGGACGAAGTCGAGAGAAAACAAACAGTAGTTTACTTCTTTTATCTCTAAAACGCCGTGTGATAGGAAAAATTGAAGAGCAAAATACAGACGATTATCAAGACTACTTTTATGAACCATCGTACACTGTACCCACGTGCCAAATCGTCTGAATTCTTCATTAGTTTCCTAGGTGTAAAAAAAATTGTTTTGTCCTTATTAAATGGGATCTCTGTTATTAAATAATTTACTAGCTTTCTGGTTTTTATCTCCAATTTTTTCCACATGTTTATCGAAATATCTAAAAATCTCTAGTACAAACATTTTATGCTCGCTATTCAGTACTTATTTAAATACAAACTTTCATGTTTTATCTTCTATTATCACAACACTTCATATATATTTTCATCCCTCATTTGAAACCCTTTAAATCTAATTTTGTGCACCAAATTATCTTTAGAATTATAATTAAATTAAATATATTGAATAAAACACATATTCCATATACTTCGTTATATCTTAAAGACGAAATATTTGTTTGTTTGCATTGCATTGCATAAGCTTTAAAATTACTTGACGGATTTTCAAAATTTTTCACCAATGGGAAGCTACAATTTGGAAATAGTAACTGGAATTGGACAACTTTCTAAAAAAATATTCATCATGGGTGCCTATTCCCATAAAAATATAATTTTACTTAAACCACATTTTGTACAAAAAATTAACTGTTTAAAAACCGCGTAAGCAGGGACTTGGAGCACGTGACGTCATTTGTGGGGTAAACAAAGGGGATTTTCAGTGAAAAACTCAATAATAAACAGTAAACTGACTCTTGTAACCTGCTAAAAATCAAATAAATCATTAAGATTACTTTGCATTTTAAATGTTTCCCATGCTTTTCCTAGATAATTTTTACAACCAATTTACCCACAAATGACTTCATTTGACGTTAGACACAAATATTGGAAACTTATATTTTTGTTTATTGATTTAAAAATTAAAAATACAAATAATTGTATTGTAATTTAGCAAAAATATTCGGCGGGTAATCTTTTAAATTTATGAACTTTTTAACCAAACACAATTCAATTTTTTATATAATTGATGTCCGCCTATTTTTTTGTTTTGAAATTAATTGCAACTATATTTCATTTTAACAAAATCAACTTACGATTCAAATCTGTGGATTTACAAGAACTAAAACACGGTGGCTATGACGGAGCAACGTGTGACGACACATTTCAATAAACTAAACGTCAACTAACGTCTTTGTTGCGAGTGCAACCGTACTCATGTTTATTAAAATGTAACGTCACTGCTAGTAATTTAACAAAACAGGGGGCCAATTCTACTATATCAATTCCAGCTAAAATAGAACTGAAATTGTATGTCACTTCGTAGAATACAAAAACCATAAAAAACTGTAGTTTCATTCGGTTTCGATCCGTTTTCGATTCGATTTAAACAAAATTTATTTAGTAGAATTGGCCCCCTGATTGTTATAGCGAAACAATTTCAATAATATATAATAATAGGTTTTTCTTTTATTAAATAAGACTTTTTGGAGAAAATTAAAGGGATGACGACTAATTTTTATTTGTTTGTCCGTCAAGTAGACTGTTGAAAAATATTAAACACATTTTTTTTCGTAATCATAAAATTACGGCGATACATGGAGTTGAAATTTCGCATGACGTCACTTTATGGTACATTTTCTACAAAACTGTGACGTAACGAGCCCCCACTCCTTAACTTTAATGCCTGTTATGTAAGCTATTTCTAGTTAAATTGAAGTTAAAAAAAATACGTATCTAGGAGTAATATTATGCTATTATCTGACTGACGGACTAAATAGAAATACATTTTTTTTTACCCAATCGTCATCTTTATTATGATCATGATGAAAGTTACAAAATAGTTTTCCCAAAACTGTCAAGTAGATAATTAAC